CTAAAACCGAGGTTTGTTCTTCGTTAAACCGGGATTCTTCTCAAAACAGAGATCGTTATAATCGGGTTCTGTTATCAGCTTTTCTAAATTACCAAATTTCAATCATGAAAAGTATTTTTTCTTTTCTTGCCTGTTACGTTTTCTAATTTTTGAGAAAAAGAAAAGAAAAAAAAAGCTCATAGTTCAACAGGATACATGAATGATTTTGAAAGACATTAAACGCCAATTATGCGGCTGGTAATCATCATTTTGTTAGTGGAGCGTATGACGCGCGTGTGATTTTCCTGAAACGAAAATTAGCCTTCAAACATTTGACAGATTTTTGAATCATCTTATGAAGAATGATCATTCAAAAGAAGAAGAAAAAAATATTCGAATTTACTATTTCTCGCCACGGGTTACCCGCCTATTAGCACCGCGTTTGAGCAAGTCCTAAGATATCCGTTGTGATAATGAAAAAAAATGACTAGTTTTTGCTTTCTATTTTCATTATGTTGTCAAAATATAATTTCTCTAATAGCCCGTTTCAGAAGCTTGAATTATTGCCTGTAGTAGGTAGTTTAACTGCAAAAAGAAAATTGAATTTTCAAGTAGAATGGTTGAGTTGCTCCTGGTAATTAAGAACAACCTTTTTTTTTTTCAATTTAGATGCAATTTGCAATGCAATATTTATTCAATTTAATTCGGTTTTAAAGTTTTTTTTTTCCTAATCAGATTTGTTAACACAAAAATCAATGGTGATAAAATGAAGAGTTTGTATATCTGTCTGTATGCTTGCAGTTCTTCCTTATAGCTCCAGAACTGTTTATTCCATTGTCCTGAAATTAGGACAGCAGCTGCAATGGCAAATTTTAGATTCGATCGAAAATGAAAGGAGTAAAGGTTTTGTCAGTTAGTCAGAAAGTAGTCAAAATTTCGATTTGCAAGATTCCTCATGTACAAAATAAAAAAATAAAATAAAATTTAATAAAAACGGGAATAAAAAAAATATATTTAGTTAATTCTTTTTGCCAATACTATTTTATTCCTTCACAAGTTTTTAATGTTGTGTGTTTTTGAGTATCGTGTCTAGTATCGTAAAATCAACTGAAAAATTACTAAGATTCCGCCTGAAAAATTTATATTCTATTTAAAAAAAATTAGATACGTTTTGAAACGTAAATCAAAAATTTCCGTAATGATAATAATCTAAAATTATTTCAGATCCCGAGAAAAAGTATTCCTACAATTTTGTTTCCAGTTATTTGCAGAACACAAAATAATAAATTGTTTTTTGTCAATGCGTTTTGTTACTTCAAGCAAAATAAACAATTGTCCTAATAGCTGGATTGTAATAGCTAGAATATGAATGTTGTAATCTTTCCTCTTGGCCGGAATAGCCTGGTTGGTAGGACACTGGGCTCATGTCCAAGAGGTCGTGGGTTCGATCCCCGCCAGCAGAAGACTCCTCGATAGTAAATGGTGCCTGATGCACGTTAAATCTGTCGGGTCTCAGTCCTCCATGTTCTCATAACAAATCATACATCTGAGGGGAACTGATCCAGGAGTTTCCTTGTCTTCTGGATTGGGTTCAAAATTACAAGATTATGAGTTGATCATTGGTAGCAATAAACTCAAAATTGTGTCGGCTGTTTATCGACGGTTATATAATAAAATAAAAATCTTTCCTCTAGAGCTGTGGTGGTTCAGGGGATAGAGCATTCGCCTTCCAATCAGGTGAACCGGGATCGAATCCCACCGATGGCTGGTCGATACGAATTTTGCATCTGGCTTGCACCGACCACAGTGCTAACGTAAGAACTCAGTGGTGGACGGATCATAAGATAAAGTCTCTTGCCGTCAGTCTAACCAGGTGAAATTTCCGTGGTTTTCTTCTCCATGTAACGTACATGCGGGTTAGTTCCATTCCATCATAAATTTCTCCACGAAGGCAAATTTCTCCCAATACTTGATCCAAGAGTTCCCTAGTCTTCTGGATTGGGTTCAAAATAATAAGGTTAAGGAGTTTAACAATGGTAGTTGCTAACTCAGAATTAGGTCAGATGATCAACGCCGTTTATAATATGAAATAAAATCTCCCCTCCTCAAAATTGAATGTAGAACAATATTCAGTTACACATTTAGTAAAAAAAAAAAGAAGATTCTTACTATTTTATAAATATGCAAACAAGTATGAACAAAATACAAATTTTATTTTATTGAAAATTATTTGCCGATTGAATTTTATTTTATTGAAATTATTTGATTTATTGTATTCTATAATTATATATTAATGCTTAATTTAAAAATTAATAATTCAATATTACTTGCCGAACTCCATAAAGGGGCATTACGAATCTCCCATCCCCTCACCTTTACATTGATAATTTGATTTCGCAATGTGGATCCCCAATTATTGAAGTTTTATTTTAATGATATGTTTTCGACTAAAAATCAGAACATATTTATTCCAAAAAAGGGACTATGATCAGAAACAAATTAGCTTTCGAGGTTAGTTGTCAGTTCCCATCTATAGCAGGGTGGTGACAGACAGCTGGATTTAGGGATGGTCCATAGGCGTCATCCTTGCGTCATAAATAACGCTGTTTCACCTGCCTATTTTGTGTGACGGTCCCTCCCTATGCATCGTTCTAAATCTTAGAAGTGATTTATTTTTATTTTTCAACCGTCTTCCTTTGACACCATATTGTGAAGAGGGCATGAAATCAAATACAATAAATCTAAAGATACATTGAATAGTGTCACTGCTGCTTTGTAAACAGCCGCAGAAGACCGAATACTATTATGTCACGCAAAAATATTACATCGAGCTTAAATTTGGGTGAAATTCTAAAATGCTATGTATTCAGAATTTATTTTATTATTCATTGTTATTCTACTTTTTGGATAATTAAAAAAGACATTCAAAATTATAATTCAAACGATGTTCTTTGTAAATAAGGGATTAAATTAAAATAATTAGTTTTAAATTATGTATCTAATTCGATTTTTTTTTCTTTTGAGTACGCGTAGCTAAACGATAACTGTTGTTTACATAAATTTGGAATTTTGATTTTTGAAACAGTTCATTTTTTATTTAATCATTTTAAATAGTTTAAGATCAGGGGCTTCCAATTTACATGATGCCTGGGGCCACAATTAAAAACTCCAGTCAAATGTCAAGTCGCAATTTTGTCAAAATTTTATGTAGGACTCTTTTATGTTTGAAGGAACGTGAAATATTATTGTCATTAAATATTCTGTTCGAAACAAAATTATTGAATTACAAATAATAATAAATATTTTCTTGCATGCAAAACCTGAGAAATTCGATTTTTTGTTATGTTAAATTTCACAGAAACGGAGAAATCAGTTTTTTTTTCAACGAAAGAAAAGTATTTTAAACCCATATAGATTTTTTTGAGAAAATTGTCCGCAAAAAAATGTTAACTAATATATTTTAGTTCGCAGGAAACAAAAAGGCCTTTGCGGGCCAGATGCGGCCCGCGGGCAGCCAGTTGGTAACCACTGGTTTACATATTAAAATATCTAGCTCGTAGGGGAAGGAAAAAAAAGCAGTTTTTATCAAAGCAAATTAGGGTTTGTAAATTAATATTTGAGCGAAGAAAAAAATAAACGATATCGAAGTTTAATAATGCACTACTGAGGAAGACGGGTCTAAAAACATCAAAACTTGTTCGAAATGAAGTAAATGATAAAACTCGGGTAGAAAAACAGCCCAATTTACTGGTCTCGTCAATATTTAATGGGAGAAAAAAACGAGAAAGCAATTGAAATAAAGAACATCTGAGGAAAGAAGGATTGAAAACAACAAAACCTGATTTATCACCAGTGAAAGCAGGTGAGCTTATAAGAAGGCATTACACACCTCTAGAAACACCCTTAAGTTTCTGGTAATAAAGTTGATGTCTTAAATACCGTCTTGTCCCGCAGTAGACTGATTGTTAAGACACGGTTCCCAGCAGATCACCGAAGTCAAGCATCACTGGCTGCGGTCAGCGTGCGGGTGGGTGACCACTTGGATCAGTCTGCGTAGGGACCGAGGGTGTGCGGTATTGGTCCTCGTTGAACTGTTCTACCGTAAAGTGCTCGACTTCGCGTGCAGATCGTCCGGCTACCGAAGCGGGGTTGCCATCCCCTCTGCAGAGGATCAAAATTGTGATGTCACGTCTTTGGATCAACCTCAGGGGTGTTTCCAAGACCGTCGCCAATAGCCCATCGTGCAGCTCTAGTGCGACGTAAATTAACTACAACTACAACAACAAATACCGTCTTACTCAGTAGAGTTTTGTTATACCCTTAGTTTTCAACATTGAGAAATTGTAAACCGAGTTTCACGCGATCAAATAACTTGCGAATTACATTAGCTCCCCGAAACACTAATTTTGGCATACTTTGGATAACACCAATCGAAAGGACTGGGTCCGGTTGGATAATCCGAAGGATTAAAGAAAACTTAATTTCAAGTTAATCCCCAATTATTGTCAATTGTTCACATGATTTTTTAAACAGAGTAATCAAATCTAAACACCAATGATTGAGAAATCGTAAACCAAGCTACACACATTCAAACAATTTATGATTTATTTTCACTTCCGAAAACATTAATTTTGGCATACTTTGGATTATAAAGTCTAAAAACATGAAAAAAATAATAGGCTTGCAAAAGCATTAATAAAGTAAAAATATTGCAAAAATAACTGGTTAGCAAAAGCATGAATAAAATAAAATAAACTCATAAAGAAAAAGCAAGCGATAAAATTGGGATAGCAATTTTGATGGAACAACAGAGAGTTGTTGATATTTTGGAGTAGTTTTTGGTTTTTGGAATTTGTAAGTTTATTCTAACCCGTTGCGGGATTTTCTATATTTTATTGAAAGATTATAATTAACCCGTTACGTGTAACTTAATCTCGTTACTGTATTTGTTGTGGTGTGAAGTAAATGTTTCTTTTAAAAAAACAAAGAACTGTTTCTTAATATAGCTTGATACGTTACAGGATATCGCCAAAAGATTGTTACAATCGAATACGAGATGTCGTGATTTGTTGCTCGCTTTCATGGCTCTAAACATTTACAGAAAGGAAAGTTCGCCATTTAAAAATGTAAGTAGGTTTTTAGTAGTGTAATATGGATAGTTATTATTTAAATTTTAAATATCTGCCAATTATATTTAATTTCTATTCGCTTTTATTCTGTTAAGCCTAGTTCAAATTAACCTTTGTATTCTATCTGTTCTCTGAGTATGTTTGATTTGCAAGCTTAGTTTTATTTTTTAAGAAAAATAGTATGTATGTATTCTAAGCTAACCGCTCTTACTTTCAGTTGAATCATAAAAATAACTTTACTGACTCTTATGCTTAACATACCTTAATAATAAATCCTAGTGTTCCTGAATAAGTGCCGAGATAGCCTGATTGGTAGTGGGATAGCAGTTGGGCCTATGTCCAAGGGGTCTTGAGTTCGATCCCCACCGGTTTAAGACTCCCCCGCTTACAAAACGGTGTCTGGTACATGTTAAATCTGCCTAGTCACAAAGTACCCCATGTTCCCGTAACAAATCAATACCTCAGGCGTTACTGAATACGAGATTGACCGTTCTTTAGTTCCGGTCAAGATTACGATAAGCAGATGAATGGACAGGCTGTGATGTGTATGTGGCTGAAGTAATATTGGCAACGAAGAATTGGTGAGCGCAGCGAGTATGTGATTTGTTCGTATACTGTTACATTACTACCCTACTTCGAATGCCATTGCATTAATAGGTAATACGAACACCATAATATTGATGCGTAGCAAAAATATCATATTTTAAATTACATAATGCGAACACCATAACAATAATGCGTAATAAAGGCCAAAGCATTAATTACGTAATGCGAATACAGTAAAAGTAATTTGTAATACGAATTCTATTATATTAATTTGTTATACGAATACGATAATACTAATATATAATTTGAATATTATAATATTAAAGCGTAAAACGAATGAAAATGCATTAATTACGTAATTCGTACTCTAACATTAATACCTAATGCAAATACTATATTATTGAAGCGTATATAACAAATACTGTAACGTCAATACGTAATACAAATACTATAGCGTTAATAAGTTATATGACAACTGTAACTTTGATATACGATTGATATATATTCTACGAATAATATTGCATTGCTACTAATGTGATCTTATTGCTAATTAATCTAATTACTACAAATGAATCGCCACTCAAATCATAAAATATTATTTTAAAACTAATTCTTCCAAATAACTGACATTGATATTTTTAATTGTATAGTTCCGAGTGAAAACTTGTTAAATAAATATCTACAAATGATTGAAATTAATAACAACGAACTCAATTCTAACAATAATATAAAAGAAACAAGTATTAAAATAAGATATGAACTTTTTTTCCTTAAGCAGAATTTAAAAATGAACCTTTTCTATGAAATGACTTGTATTAGGTTCAGTAGAGTATAATAATTGTGTTAAAATAAGTTTACAGACAGAGGCAACATAAATTCAAAATACCATATAAAAATGCTAACTCTAGTTTCAAGACCAATTGAACATTAAAAATGATCGAATGTTTCAACAGAAAAAAGAACTCAATGGCATTTCTCACGCAATCAAATAAGCTAATTATTTTTTTTAAAATACTCTTTACCTGATCATGATTGCAAAATAGCTCAAAAACTAATCGGCATTTAGAGTCAATCGTTCTTTTATTTCGTCATTTATTGTTGGAATAATGAAAAATTGACGAAACAAGTCAGTGATTAATGATATTTATTAAAGGAATCAGGATGTGACTGGTTCGAGATCCAGATATCAGTAATTCGATCGCAAAATTCTGACTAAGACAGCAAGCCATATGAAGCCGTCCATCAATATGCTTCTGAAAAAGAATGAAGTAAAAATTAAAATAATAAAAAAATCTAATAGCCATCAAACAAAAGAGTAATGAATAACATTTGCATAAGCCATTCATCAAAGAATTTTTTTAAACTACCAGAATTGCGATTCTAGTGGAAGTTTGAGATGTTGTCTTTGGCAACAAGGTCATCGTCAAACGATAGTTTATGACCGGATGAGATGAAATGTGTGGTTAATTTCATTACTAAAACTAATATGACAAATTATGTGACTTTAAATTAAAAAAAAAAATATTACTGTACTTTTTTGTTTATTTAATTCGCAAATAAAATTATGAAAATAATATCAATTGTAACATTTTAATCTTTCGTAATTATAAAATAAATTTTATGCAGTCAACTGACATGATTGTTAAATTCGATTTTTCTACTTTAACTCAATTTTTTACAAATCTGAAATAAATTCTATACAGTTACCTGACATGACAGTTCAATTCACTTTTTGTATTTTAATTTGGCATGAAACAACAGTATAAAAATAATAATTATTATGATTGAAAGTTCTGAAATGAGTAAACGTTTAAAAGAATCTTTTTAATCTTTTAGAAGAATCATTTTAATCTTTCAGAAGAATCATTTTAATCTTTTAGAAGAATCATTTTAATCTTTTAGAAGAATCATTTTAGTCTTTCAGACGAATCTTTTTAATCTTTTAGAATAATCTTTTTAATCTTTTAGAAGAATCTTTTTAATCTTTTAGAAGAATCATTTTAATCTTTTAGAAAAATCGTTTTAATCTTTTAGAAGAATCATTTTAATCCTTTAGAAGAATCATTTTAATCTTTTAGAAAATTTGAAATAATTTTTATCCAGTTAAATGACATGAACTAGACTGTTAAAGGAGACTATAATCGCTTGTTTAAAGAAAGCCCTTCATAGACATTTTCAATTAAACACTTATAAAAATGAGAAAATAGTAATAGCAAGACGATCCAAAATTAGTTAAAAAGGGTTCAAGGTCAATATTGTTGCTAAGATAAAGTGATTGCATTCTTTCTGTACTGAAAATAGTACTGAAAATTCCGTATCTAATTATGAAAAAGTGCAAAAATTAATCAAATACAGATGTAATATTAATCACTGCTATCAGTACCTCACTTATTTAATGAAAAAATTTTTAAGACATTATTAGTTAAATAGCTATATAGAATGTAGAAAATGGTAATTTCAAAAATTAAAATTGAGTTAAAATATTCCAAATCAATGTTGTGACGGTAAAGTAGTTTTCGATTAGTGCTGAAATATTATAATAATAGCAGTATAATAATAGTGAGCAATATAATAAAAGTTCAGTAGCAGAAATAAACACAGATGTCATTAAAATCACGAATAATTGCTCATTTATTTGTTGTCAGTTGTAAAGACAAAAAAACTTCATTTCAAAATTTTTCATAAAAATTTCTAGATCAATATTGCTGATAGATTAGGTGATTGTGAATGTATACTGAAAAAATGCAATAAAATAAAACAATGTGGTATTTACTATGTCATAGTGTACTAAGTACAATAACGAAGAAAAACAAACGTAAAAAAATCACTGATAAATCATTTATTTAGTGAAAACGTTTGAAAAACATTTTTAGTTAAATACATATTAAAATGAGAAAATAGTTCTGAAAATGATAAAAATTAATAAAAAATATTCAAAATTAATATTGCTTTCTAAGGTGAGAAAAGTTGAAAGTGAATATTGAAGCATTACAATAATGAAGAATAGTGAAGCATAACAAAATGCAATAAAGAAAAAACACAATTCATAAAATGCATTGATAACTCACTTCTTTAGTGAAAATTTTTCCATTAAAAAGTATAAATAGTTATTTCAAAATTTCTCCGAAATAAAAAAAAATGCTCTAAGTTAATGGTAAGATAAAGCAATTGAAATGAATACTGCAAAAGTACAATTAAATAAAACAATTTAATATAATAAAAGTACAATAACGAAAAACACTCAGTTGTCATAAGAATCGCTGATAAATCAATAACTCACTTCTTTAGTGGAAACTCTTCAAAGACATTTTCAGTTAAATGCCTATAAAAACGAGAAAATAGTTATCTCAAAATGATCAAAATTAATGAAAAAGATTCCAAATCAATATTGTTGCTAAGGTAATTGTAAATGAATATTGAAAATTACCCTTTACAAAAATTACCCATTTCCTATCGTCATCATCTTTTTCAAACGATTGAGCAATTTCTAATTGAAAGACTGCATTGAAAAAATAAAATAGAATAAAATTGAAAGACCAAAACTATTCTTCAGCGCTTTTTAAATTAACCGTTTAAAAGATTCGCCCGATTAACTCACAGTTAATGCTTAAGTATTTATCCGAGCTACTAATAATGCTTAGTAGAAGTTGCTATGGTTGAGTTTTATTCTTTATCGAATAATTTAGCATACAGTAGAAATTAGCAGTCGCTTGAAAAGGACAGTTATTACGATTCGCTTTTCGAATTGATGGAATGGTTTCGGAAAATTAGAAAACTGGGAAAAAAACGAAGAAGAAAAAAAAAACTAGTAGCGAAATCTTGACATTTAATGAATAGACGAAGAAGAGTTTAGATGTCTTTGTCAGCTTGTCATTTATGTTTTTTATTGTTTTGCTCCGTTCTGTCTAATTATTTTCCAATAGTAAATTGCTTCAACACTAGAAAACGGTTAATGGAGACTTATTTTTATTTTTCTTAAAATTTTAAAGGTAAAGCGTCACATTTGCTAATTTAATTGATAGTTTTGCTTATATAGCGACACAAGAAATCACTTATTTTAAAGATAAACCCGGATACTTTTTTCTTTATTAAGAACGTTTTAGAGGAATTAGATATTGTAACATGAAATTTTAGCTTTTTTAATTTTTTTTTAAAAACAATTTTGAAGAATAATTTTTATTTCTTAGTACTTGAAAGGAACATTTGTTTGAAATTTTAAAGACTAATTTTTTTTTAAAAAGTTATTACTGTTTACTAATTTTTTAATATATTGAAAAATAATATCCCTTTGAATGGTATANCTTTGTTATATAATTTTTTTACGGCAACTAACGCATTTCACTGAACTGAAAATTCTTTTGAATAAAAGAGAACAAAATGAACAATATCAAAAAGTGTACACTGGTCAAAATCTAAAAAGTTTTGAACCACAGCATCGGTTCAATTTGCTGCAACTATGATATGGTACACGGTATTACCATATTAGGATTGTTATATGGTACTTTAATATGTTACATGGCACTTTACATGGTACTTTAATGTGGTTTTCATTTTCTTCGCCATGCAAGTTGTTAGATGGTACTTCAATATGGTCTCAAATTAAACAACATTATCATGCAATTTGATTACACGTTATTATGGGTTCATTTGAACGGATTTCTGGTTCATCTTAATAAGCTAACAATTAATTTGTACGATTTATTAGTTAAGGCACCAATATTACGGTTCAACACTGAATATTTTTTTCTGAGTGTATAATAAATCGGGACAAGGGTTCTCAGGGAGGGGGGTAAAGTCCACCTCCAGTGAGATGACCCAGGTTTAATTTTGTCAAAAGTTATCAATTTGTATACTTATCTCATACACAGTGCTGATATAACAAATCAAAAGAGGTAAATGAATCAAGGGTTGGAATTCCCTTGTCGTATGGCTAACCGTGGGTTGTTTTCGTTATTTTCTTCTTTATGTATAATGCAAATGCGAGTTAGTTTTACTGAAAGTGACGTATACATAAAGGCAGGTTTTGCCCAATACTTGATTTTGAAGTTCTTTTATGTTCTGAGATGGGTTTCAATATTTTAAGACTAAGGAGTTAAATGTGATAAACTGAATCGGCTCCCTAGCCGTTGGGTTAACTGTGGGAGATTTTCGTGGTTTCCCTCTATTTGTAATGTAAGTGTGAGTTAGTTTCATCAAAAAGTCCCCCACAAAGACTAGTTTGCCTCGATGCTTCATCCGGGAGTTCCGTTGCCTTCTGGGTAGGGTTTAAAATTACAAGAGTGCGCAGTTGAACGTTGATAGTCATAAACTCAAAATTGTGTCGGCTGTTCAGAAGACTCAAAATTGTGGCTGTTCAACATTGGTTGTAAAATGTATTAAAAAATTGAATCGGCTGTTCAACGCTGGTTGTAAAATGCAATAAAAATTGTGTTTTCTGTTCAACGCCTGTTGTAAAATGTAATAAAAAAATTGAATCGGCTGTTCAACGCTGGTTGTAAAATGTAATAAAAAAATTGAATCGGCTGTTCAACGCTGGTGATAAAAAAAGAAAAAACTTGTTTTTAAATGCTCGAATTTTGCGAGATAACACAAATATATCGAACTAAAGGGGGGAAAATATATTTACTACAAATGGAAATCAGATGTAGATATGTGTCAAACAAACAGAAGCCACACCTCAATTTCGTAAAAAGAAATGCTCAAAACCAGAAACAAATATTTTCTTCAAACGTGGCCTACATATGAGAAAGTAAAATATAGGATAAAAAACAAGCAGTCATCATTTCAACAGGAAATTCGTATCGCCCGTCATTCCTAATAGCGCAATATCAACCGAATGACTCATCCTCCATCATTCCAAGCAGGTTCATCAGGAGGCGAGAATAGTACCGGCATGCCTGATGTCTCCCAACAGACTGCCAGCACGGCTACCCATCAAAACTTCGACCATTTAACATTGGCGTGATAAACATCTGCGCGGAAAGGGGCCCCATAAACATGCTACGACTCGGCCCAAGGTAAACACCGTGCGAGTACTTTAGTAGGGCCAGACGGCCCCATTCATAGTAATGTAGGCTCGTACATTACATCGTTTCGCCTCTAAACCTATAATATATTATATACATTATGGTTCGAAGGCGAATCATTTGTGTCAGGATATGGCCGGCTTGATTAAATGTTAGATGTTTCACTTGGTTATGAGTAAGCTGGGTTCTAGCCTTTGACGAAAGATTGGTCTACAGTGGAGGTAAATGGTTTCAAGAAACGACAACATGGCTTATTAGAAAGGTGAAAACTTATCCGACTGTGCTTGTTAGCAAAAGATTGTAAGCTAATCTATGGAAGTAAATTTTGGAGTAAATAGATCTTGGAGGGAGAAAATTACTGCGCTTAATTCAATTGGAATTGAACTAAATAGAATATAATGCCGGTCAATAATCTCAGTTTGTATATATATTTTACAGTATATTATTAGGAGGATATATATACTCCAAGAGAGTCATATTGGCTGGAGAATTCAGGTGTCTTTACTGGGAAATTCACGCTGTTTTTGCAAGTGGATTTGGTTTATATGAGGTAATAAATGTAGGAGCATAAAAAGTGAAAAAAGTCATGGATCTAATATATAACTACGATAACACGGATCTACAGAGAATAATTATTTTTGAGTTGGGCATTTGAATACGTTATTAATGGTTTTAATCATTCAAGGGACTTGTGGTTTTAAATACTAATTCGGCTTCTAATTGGAAAGTATCGATTTGGTTCAAGTCCGTAGATGAATTAATCACTTGATTTCAATCAACTATCGATACAGATTAGTATTAAATTCGATATCCAATTGGTTGGTATCAAATTGAAATCTATTTTGGACATCAAATTGTTTATTAATGGTTCGAATCACTAACAAGATTTGTGAATTTAAATTACAATTCGATACTGGTTCGTTCGAAGGTATCGATTTGGTTAAAGGTAGATGAATGAAGCCTTTGATTTGAGTTTTGGAATTATTGCAAATTACCAAAAAAAATTAACTAATTGAGTGAATGATTAATTAATTAAATAGCCTAAAGGTATATTGTCTTCATCCAATAAGACAGAAAAGTGGAATTCTTATTTTATTTTGTAACCGGTGCTGAACAGCTGATTCAATGGCCAATGTTTAACTCCGTAACCATGTAATTTTAAACACAACCCAGAAAACAAGGGAACTCTTGGATCAAGCATTGGGACAATCTGTGCTTATTTGAGACTACTTATCAGATGAGGCTTATTAGATGAATACAGATGACCAAAATTAATGAGAACTGTACTTTGGCTCACCCAGATTAGGCATTCGATTCTATATTTGCATTAGGAAAAGATTATGAAAATCGAATTATGATGTGGATTACTCGCGGCTACAAATTTAACAGTGTGAACATTTTAAAAGCTGTAACAGTAGCTCTTCAGTACTTCATGTCTTAAAAAACAATTAATTAGAAAATTTTTATAATTTCAATGACTGATTATGTAAAAAATTAAAAATATAGATAGTGTGTTTTTCTGCTTTTGCTCTAACATTATTTTGAGGTAACTGTTGATGCTTTGATGCAAAATGCTTTATCGATGGAGAAAATAGCTTTTGGACAAACTGAGGAGGTTTACAATGTGTAATATGTATGGCCGCTATATTTCAGATCTGTCTTTAATTCTTTGTAATAAAAAGTTGATTAGTTAAAATGTTGCTAAAGGCCATCTAGTAAGTCGGATGGAGCACTTTACATGATACTTTAATATGGTCCTTAACTTCTTCGCCATGTAATTTGTTATATGATACTTTAATATGGTGCCAAATTAAACAACATTATCGTGCAATTCGATTACACGTTATTATGGTTTTATTTGAAAGGATATCTGGTTCATTTTAATAAGAGAGCAGTTAATTTGTATGATATAAAAGTTTAATAAGATAGCAGTTAAGTTGTATTGCTATTTGGTAAGGCGGAGAGGGAGAAGTGTAGTTATTCCACCTAGTTAAGTAAGATTCTGCTATTGAAAGGGTTTCAGCTTTTAGAATCTAAAGATGGAATGAAGGTTGGTCACTTTTTAGACTGTGGGCTTTATTTAAGGCTCTTTCTCGAAGAGTCTGTCAACTTTTTGAAAAAAATGTGTTATTTTCTTAATTGCGCCGACCGGTCTGTGTAGGGGGCAGGGAACTGTCCTTGCATCAGAAAGGTTCTGGGTTCAAATCCCGGGCAAGGTATGGATGTTTCTTTCTCTCCATCTGTGTTCTATGTCCTTTCTTCTTTGTGTGTGTATGTGTGAATGTGACGCTCCCTA